ACAGGCAAAAATATTTTTTTCTTTAAGTTCAAAAAATTCGCTGTTTATTGTGAAAAAAGTTTTAAAATTTAAAAATAATTCATACAGCGTTTTTTTGTTTTTGTAAATCTCAAGAATCGAAATTTTGTATGCCGTCACACACATTATATCTATTTCCCACAAATATCCATACTCATATTGATATCCATAGCGATAATAAACAAGAAGTAAGCACTTAATGCCAGGTCCAAACAATAAGATGGACGCATAAAAGCGTTCAATCTTTCAAGGCTTCTAGCCGACTATTACCGATGTATGTGACCTGGTGTTATGCTGACGTAACATAATTCCTCTGTTATTGGTCCAAGCTGGCCGCTTTGCTTCAATCAGATGGTTTAATTATTGAAAGCATAGGTTCGAATTAAGAGTTTGGAATTCTGAACGATAGGAGCTTACACCGTAGATGTTACCAATCTCCTCAAACAGATAGCAAAACCATCTTGATAATCAATCCGTGAGTGGGCCCCGAGCGTTTTCAGTGTACCTCATCGTAAGTGACCACTTTTCATCCTTCAGAAATGGATCGATTTTGTTGTGACTCGTGTGGTACTCATATATTGAACTTTAGTTTGTATCTAGCCTTATTTAAACGGTGCCAAATAGATTTTTGTGCCATGTTTAGCCACTGGGTAGTCGACAATTACATATACTTTTACCTATCAGCCTTCCAGAGCGAGGTGCATTTTTGACGTCAAAATTGCGTGATCAAAATCGATAAAATTGCCCGATTTTTACTGTTACAGTATCAATAATCATATTCTAGTTAGTTATATTCTAGTTATGTTTTTAATCATTTTCAAAATCATAAAAATAAATATTCTATATAAAGTTATTAATAAGATTAACGCATTCTCTTTCTATAATAGTTTTTATTATCAGAGTTCCATTCACACATATTTTCGCATTCATATTCACTTTGTCATTAATTTTTGCTTCAAGTAGTGCTGAGCACATAAGGGTTAAATTGCGTGCGTGCGCGACCTTCTTCACTCTTCTTCCCGCCCCCTGATGGACCTAACTATATTGCTCAATCGCTTCTGTTTTAGCATGCAATAAAGGCAAATAAACAGTAATAGGCAGACAGAGAATTAAAACAAAAAGTTCAAACACACACGCACACATTCATAATGAAGCAACAGATTCTCAATGCAAATATGTTGTCTGTACAACTTGAAACTATGCGCATGCGCATTCGCAAGCTGTGTTCAAGCTGCAAATGAGCGGTGATTCTGATTCTTCTTCGACAACACCACATAAGTTGTTTTTGCTCTTCTACAACATCGCCTTCACGCAAATGGATTTTTAAGGTTTCTCGTCGCCTAATAATAGTGCATGAATATTTCCGAATACCACACTAACTACTATCGATAGTTTTAATCTGTTTGCGTGGCATGTTGTGATTATGTGTTTCGCTTAATTCTGAGGCGCTAAGTGACTGCTTCTGCAATTACGTCCGCATACCGTATTATTTGCAAAATTCTGATAATGTATTTTTGTGTATGTTTCTTGTTATTCCTTGCTTTTTGTTTTTTTCGACTTTTAATTAGTTTCACACTTTAAGCGAGCGCTACCGATCGAAGCGCACCTGGTTTGCTTTTCTTGGTCGGTTTGAAATTTTTTTTTTTATACTCATCCAACATATTGCTAGGTAGTATCATTATTATTTTTTAGCTAACGGTTGTTTGTGATAACTAAAATCAACAGAGATTGCTTTCCGGATACCTGTTTGAAAGTGCGTTCGTCCCACTTTACTTCAAGTCCTAGAACCCCTATAGAGGGGTACATGTGATTAGTTTAATGTAGACTCCTATACTCTACTAAACTAAAATTACATCTCTAATCCAAACAAATCGCGTATTTATTGTTTGATCCGACTCGTTTTTAGCACTTTTTTTTATTACTTTTTCTTTCGAAGATTCTATCTTTTTCAATTTTTATAGTGTGCGATTTGGACTGACGGTTTGGCAAATATATGAAGACCTTTACTCACCAGTGGAATTGTGTACATTTTTTTAATTCTATAGTTCGCAGCACCAGAGATCACGGTCTAAAAAGAATGAACCAGCTCAAACCAATTCGAAGGACGATAGTTGCAAAACAAAACAAAAAAAAAAAAAAAAAAAAAAAAAANAAAAAAAAAAAAAAAAAAAAAAAAAAAAAAAAAAAAATGGTTAAGTTTTTAAGTGGCATTTTAAAGAGATCGTTTATTTTGAGCTTTGGCGCGCACAATGTCATGATTCATTCTGAAGCGTACTGTGATCAGACCGACAAATTGAGTGCTGCACTCAAAAAAGAAAGGTCACATCCATAGAAAATATGTTGAATGGGATGTACCTGAAAATTATTATTTGTTCCGGTCTCTGCAAAATTTTGTCACCTCAAATCACGATGTCAAAAATCACTTAGTGAAACAAATATTATCTCAATGAAATAAACTAAGCTAATTTGTCCATGATATGGTTTAGTGCTAATACTACTAATATAAGTGATTGTAATATATTCATAATATCAAATATTGAGTTCTTTCAATTACTCAAAATATGGCTTCGACTTTGGTTGTACTTCGGCAACACTAATGCACTCCTTGGACAATTGGGTAGCTCTCAAAACTGTGCATTCCCAGCGCAATCTTCACAATGCCCGCGAAGACATACGAATTTAATCTTAACAATCTAATCGTATAATATCAAATTATTAGAGGTCCAGGGGTATTTGGAAATTTTCACGAAGCTTGCAATGTGAATTGCAGCCACCTATTTTAGGTATAGAATACAGCGGCAACATGCGCAGATAACGTATGACCAATTGCCTTCAGAAGCGTCTATTAGGACATTGAAACCAGAACCCGTTTTTCGTAAAGGCAATGGAAATTCTGTTTTAAGTTAAGTTAATTTACTGTTAAGAGCATACAACCTTCAAAGGGTCAAGCTAATAATAAGACTCATTAAAGACAATATTAGGGTATTTGGGTCGTACGTAGATTATGGAGACTTTATTATTCTTAAGAAGTTACATGGGTTTCCTCGGTTAAAAAAACCGTAGTTTTCCAACAATTTTGTCATAATTAAATATTTTATTAAATTTTTTTCCTGTTACAAACATATACATTGACAAAGAAGTGTTGAAATTTTTGAAAAAATTTGTTTAGATTCGGCCATTGCGACGCCATTTCCGGTAGCCCCTCGGAAACAAGATGGATTTTGGCAGACATTAAAAAAAAAAAAAAAATTAAAATTTCATTAAACTTTTTTTTTTTCAAATAGTTCTAATTCAAAAAAAAAGAAATCCTTTATCCAAGAATTGTATCAGAAAGACCAATGTAAAATTTCACATTTCACGAAGATCAGTTAAGTATTTGTTGAGAAATCTTGCCAACCGATTTCAGAACACAGTTTCGGGAAAAATGCGTTTAAGAGCGGCGCTCTTAGCCTAGCAAGTCTCGGCGCACAAGTCCTCAAGGCTTTATCTGCGAAACTGTTACTTAGATCAACTTCAAAACTTACGACAATATTGTAGGGGTGATGTAGAATTTCTGAAACCCGTTAAGGAAATAATAAGACTAAGAGATAATATTAAAGTAGTTGAGAGATGCAGGTTACAGATTCGATTTTTCTCAAGCCCACCTTCTTTTTGATTACGAAGCACACTTGTTCGATCAGGGACGCCAAGCACAAGCGCTGACTTTAATACAGTCTTGGGTCTGTATCGTTCATACATACATATGATCGTACATGGTGTACAACCGCACATCTCTATTTATGGTATCCGCCGCCGGGTTCATGATTAGAAAACGTGGTGCGCTTAACGCAAAAATATCCAAGATATTCACAAAAATTCTTTGCAAACTCATCTGCTCAAAGCATCAAACAACAGCTATGTGATTAATATGCATTAGCTAACTTAACGCCTAACAAGAACAACAAAACACCATGAGCTTTTAATAAATAACTTTTTGGAATTTAATTAACTGCACAGAAACAACAACAAAAACAAAATGTATAAAACTGCCGCTTCACGTCACGGCGAGTTCAACACTTAGCTTTTCATGGTCAAAACTCAAAGACGACCATCCAAATAATCACGTGGTGCGCAAAATCAACCGACAATTTCGCAAAAGAAGGAAAAACAACGAAGCCAAAGCATAAGGCACTTAAGCCTACAATTAAAACAACGCAGCAAAACTAGCGCAGTCTACACGGACAACAATTCAAAGTGGCATCTAATGATTAAAAACGAAACATAACAACGTTAACGGCACAGTTTTGAAAAATTAGAGACAACCAGCAAAATAACATGAAGCTGGTTTTGCGTAGAAAATGCGGAGTAAAGTCAAATTTTCCCCAGTTACCCCATTGTCTGACCGGAGGCACGCTTGCATGGCGCATCACGAGTGCTTTGAGATGACCAGCCACTACAAACACCGTAAAAAACACCAAAACGACAGCATAAAACAATTTGTATGCGAAAAAACACTTAATAAGCACAACGAGTGAAGGTGCACGCGAGACAAAAACAAAAATGCAACGAAATCAAACATTGTAAAGACTAAAACCAACGCCGCTGATAGCAGATGAATGTCGGCACCGCGGCAGATGAGCGGCGCTTGACACTGTCAGCTGAGACATTTCAACTGCGCACAGAGCACGCCAGCACCAACAATGACCTGAGAGCAGCCGAAGATCTGTCGGCGAGCAACAGGTGAGCGTTAAACATAGCAACAACAAGCAGTTGCTCGCTTTGTGGTGGCTGGCCAACATGTTGGCGGAGTAAAATGAAGCAATGGAAATGTCAAAAGCAGTAAAGAAGAAGAAAAAAGAAAGAGCGATATAAATTGAATTCAAAAAACACAACGCATTGTGAACGAAAATACACAAATGGCCATAAATTTAGGCGAACGAACGGCGAGCGGGTAGCAAGAATGTGTATTAAACGAGCTGAAATGAACGAAATGAAGGCAAAAAGCGTTGAATTCATATAAAAAGCATCTTTAGCTTGTGAACAAAGTTTAATCAGTTAAAAAAGCTCGACAAGTTGACAACGGACAGCCGCCTTAGACGATTAGACGAGATCGCGCGATTGCATTGAAAACAAAACAAAAAAAAAATTAATAAAAACAGTTGAAATAAAAAAACGCGAAAAACGACGAGTTGCCGAGCATAAATACACGTTCAATAATAGACAAGCGAGTGGGCCTTTGAACGCGCGCGCGCAAAACGAAACGAAACGGTGTGTCAATAAAGGAGCTGCCAGACACTTGATTAGCACGGCTACTTGCTGGTGTGTGCGTGTGTGCTTATTGTAGTGACTTAGTGATTGCACGGTGTCAACAAAAGACTCAAGCAACGAACTTGCAGTGCAAAAAAAAAAAAAAGAAAAAAAAACGAAAAAACAAATTTTGAAAATTTTTTGCGAGTGACAAAAGTGCAACGAAACTGTTAGTGTGTGTATGTGTGTTATTTACGCTTGAAAGCTTTGCAACATTTTCAAACAACATTTGAAAAGCGTTGGAATTTCGCACCAGCGCCCATACACAACCCAATATTTTTTTGCGCTTAATAAACCGAGCTGCAGACAGCGCTTACCTCAAAATGTGGCACTATGTGAGCAAACAAAAGCAAACACAAATATATTTACTTGCGCTCAATTGTCAATAACCAACACTACCTTTTCCAGACACCCGCAATCTGCCTATGCGCCGCACTCGCCGTCATGCAAGCAGCCCGTGCCGCACAGCTTCCCAATTACGTGCCACCACAATACTATCACTACCCGACGCCGCGTCATCCGCTCAACATACCCGCCAATGTGGGTCAACAGTATCAATTCCAACAACAGTACTCCGCTTACGCGCCGCAACGTTATGTGCAACCCCAACAGCAGCAACAACAATACTACCAACAAGCACAACCCTCCGCCAAGGTGACACAGCAATTCTCCTCGCCTGCGCTGGAAAATGCCGCCTTCACTTCAGCGCTCACCAGCCAGGGTTACACGTTTGGCGGCAATAGCCTTGCGGCAGCTTCAGTGTCAGCGGCACGCGCGCTGCCCTCAGCGCTGTCGCTGCCACCATCCATTGCGCAGTCGCTTGAGTCCAGCAATGATATTGCATCGGAAGGTGCCATTGATTCTTCGGATTCTTCTGTAAATCTGAAACTACCGCTACCAGTGAACATAGCGCCCATCAAGGTGCAACCGCTGCCGCTGCAGGCAGGCGCATCCTTCAGCGACCTGGCCAATGCGGTGACTTCGTACGGCACCGTTTATCCGCAGCGCAAGCGCCGCTGAAGCACTTGGCTTATTTTTATTGCGCTGCCTCGTGTAGCGCTGGTGCAAAAGAGGCTGGTTAGTTCCGAGCTAATTTCACACAACTAGCAACAACAAMAACTAGAGCGACAGCAAAGCAATTTGTTATTATGTTTTTTGTAGTGATTTAGCTACCTAGGCGCTGCTCATCATCAATCACCAGTCATATTTTAAGTTCTACGTAGCGGAGCAGTGTTCTGCTCTGCCGTTAATTATAAGTAACTGTTAAATTTATTGCTAACACGATTGCCAACACATACATACATACACATTCAATAGAAATGCTGACGTTGCAGCCAAAATTGTGCACTTTTAGACATTTTACTTTTGGAAGCATAGTTTTTGTTTTCTTAGAGAGTTGTATATTGAATAATTAAATATTTTATATTTTTTTTGTTCCCTATATAAAAT